TAAACTTACATTGAATTTCCTATTTGTTCTTCGAACATCCGGTTTGCTAGCCATTGATAGGTGGCACCGACATTCTTTAATCCTAATGACATTACATTATAGCAGTATGTGCCAAATTTAGTGATAAAGGAAGTCTTTTCTTGGTCGTCCAGGTCCATCCAAATTTGGTTGTACCCGGAATAGGCAACGAGAAAGCTGAGTATCTCATACTCGTCTGCTGCGTCAATCATCCGATTGATGTTAGGCAAAGGAAAAGAATCCTTAGGGCATGCCTTGTTCAAATATTTGTAATCTCCACACATTCTTAGCTTATTTACTTTTTTAGCTACCAATACGTTAGCTAACCAGTCCGGGTACTTAACTTCCCAGATAAACCCTATTTTAAGGAGTTTAGATACCTCATCCTTGATGAATGGATGTTTGACCTCGAACTGAGGTCTCCTCTTTTGCTTAACCAGGTGGAACTTTGGGTCCAAACTCAACTTATGAGTGGTTATCTCCGGCAGGATCCCTGTCATATCAAGATGGGTCCAGGCGAAACAAGATATGTTAGTTTTAAGAAAATTAATAAGTTCTTTCCTGAGCTCGGGGGTTAACCCCGTGCCCAGGTATACCTTTTGATCTGGTAGGTATTCGGTCAATATGACTTACTCCAGCTCCTCGACCGTTGATATCATTAGGAGCTATGAATGACCTCGAAATTCCGTAATCATCCTCCTCGTTAACTCCTTATTACTCCGGTCCGACTGGGACCGACATCGGTGGTTGCTATATGACTTCGACCTTTCTGGTCGGCTTTGTGTTCCTTAATATCGGGACGGCGAGCAGAGGGAGTTCTTCATCGACTGCGAACATCTCCTTTGCAGCCGGCTGTTCTTTGTATACCGTTTTTCCTCTTGGAGTAGGGAACTTTAACGCCTCGTGTAAGGTCGAAGGTACTGCCTTCATGTTGTGAACCCATGGTCTTCCAAATTGAGAGTTATATCATATGCCATCTTCGATCACATAGAACTTTGTTTCCTGGATGGTCCCGGCGGTTTTCACGGGTAGGGTTATCTCCCCTTTAGTAGTTTCGCATGCCATGTTAAATTTGTTCAACACCCGAACTGCTGGCACTATTTGATCTTGTAACCCTAACTGCTCTACAACCCTCGATCTGATGATGTTGGCTGAGCTTCCTAGATCAATCAACTCATGTTTAACTCGAGATTTATTGATAAGTACATAAATTACCAATGCATCATTATGAGGTTGTACGATGCCCTCGGTATCTTCGTCGCTGAACGAAATGGTTGCCTCCGTGATATAATCTCGGGTGCTTTTCTCCCTTGTGATTGACACTTTAATGCATTTTATCATCGGCCCTTGAGGGACATCGACCCTTCCAATTATCATGTTGATGACATGTTAAGTTTTCTCATGTTCAGTCTGTTTGTTAGCATCCCTATTTCTGAAGTAGTTTTTGGCTTGATCACTCAAAATATTTCATAGGTGTCCGTTATTAAATAACGGGGCAACTTTTTCTCTTAATTGCCGGCAATCATCGGTAGGATCAGATTGCAATGGTCAAGGCCACTTTGTTTCCTTGATGTTCCCAATGGCTGATACGATACTGATAATATCAACATTGATGTTATATTCTCAATATCTCGATACTTCCCTAGCCCCGAGCGGCCTGTTAAAACCATTCTTGCTCATCAGTCCTCGACTATTGGACCCTCGATCATTTCTCTTTTCGTTTCTCGTGAGGTGACGCCCAAACCCGTTTCCCCTTTTATATCCACTGTATGGTTGATATCGGTCCTCGATTGGTCTTGATATATGATCGATGACTCTCTTAGACTTGTCATCGGTTCTAATGGGACAAACAGACCCAGAAGGGCTCCGAGTTGGTCGTCCTCGACTCTGATTTTCGACTGGTATCTATTGTGGACGTCGACCCTAGTCACCACTACTACTCTACCAAATATTGTTTAAGTTGTTGTGAAACCAAGGAGCTTCGGGGGTTGAGTCCTTCAGTGAATGCCTGAACGGCCAAATCATCGACGATTGGAGGCAGATACATTTGTTCCATCCGGAACCTTGATACGAACTCCCTGAGCATTTTATTATCTCTTTGTTTAACCTTGTAAAGGTCCAATTTCTGGTTTTGAGCTTGATGGCCCCGACATGGCCTTCACAAAAGTATCTGCAAGTATAGAAAATGAATTAATAGAATTTGGGGGTAAGTTGTAATACAATATCATTGCTCCTTTTGACAGAGTCTCCCCAAACTTCTTCAGCAACACTGACTCGATATCGTCATCTTCCAAGTCATTCCCCTTGATGGCACATGTATAGGAGGTTACATGTTCGTTTGAATCCGTGGTTCCATTGTACTTTGGAATATCGAGCATACGAAACCTCTTCGGGATCGATTTTGGAGTTACACTCGGTGGGAAAGGCTTTTGGATAAACTTCTTGGAATCCGGTTCTTTCAAAATCGGGCGTGCTCCTGGGATTTGGTTAACCCCGGAGTTGTACATTTCAACTTTCTTGTCGTTGGCCTCAATTTTATTTTCACCTGATTTCACTTGCTTCGTTAATGCCTCAATCATTTTCATTATCTCAGGGTTGGCCCCGGGCTCAGCTTCACCTAACCTCTCTATGGTCTGCTCATTTCTTCGGGTGTTTTCCTGGGACCATTCGGGTTCGACCCTACCTGGAGGATGGCCTTGATTCTGTAGCTATGCTATCGTCGCTTGTTGAGCCTGCAACATTTTGAAGATTAGTCGTAGGCTTACCCCATCACCTTCGCCTTCGGGCGTTTCTCGAACAGTTGGTCGAGCGCCTCCACGAATGTTGTTTTCGGGATCAGTTAGCAGGTGGGCGTCGATAGCAACCTGTGAATTGGCATCGATTGGATCGACAACTGGGGCTCCGTTGGGATCAGCAAGGGGCACCTCATTGCTAGGTACTGGGTTGTTGTTTTCACCATGATGGCGAGATTCAGCCTCAACGTTCATGTGAACAGACTGAGAATTTGTCATTTTTAAGTTGACCTGAAATTGAAACCTTAAAGAACAAGCGCAAAATAGAACGTGTTATGGAAATTTGTATCGAACCACCACTATTATCCTTAGCCCCACGGTGAGCGCCAAACTGTTTACCCTTAGAAATGGATAATAATTGAATTTATACGCGGTTTTAAGGATATGTGGATTAGTTCAACACAAAATGATCAAGAATGTTAGATAGGCAAAATAAAGATAAGATAAATAACCAAACTAGTTGTGACGTTGTGTCCGGTGGGATGCAGATATCATGGCCCTCCGTTAATATGGACCTGGCTAGATTGCACACAAATGAAGTCAGTTACTTGGTAATAAGGACCTGGCTAGATTACACACAAATGAAGTCAGTTACTTGGTCGCCATATAATTTTCAAGCTGACATTTATTGACTATTTTATGCTCATTTTGATTCCAAACAAACTCTTGTTTTCTTTTTCTTTATTCAGTTCCTAAACAAACTCAAATATCCTTTAAAGGATTGCTATATTTTTTTCAACTTAAAGTATTGTTATTAAATATTCTCTCCGTTCAAGTTTACTTGTCTACTATTAACTTAGTATATCCCTTAAGAAATAATAAATAACTTGGTAAATTTACTATATCACCCATATTGGAGTATATGGGAAAAATACTCCTACTTAATAAAATGGGAAAAATAAGTATAAAATGATAAACTATTCATTAGTTTTTCAAACTGGACAAATAAAAGTGGATATCTATTTTTAGTATAATGGAAAAGTAAATTTATAGCATGTTTGGCCAAACTGCAAAAATCAGCTTAGTTTGAGAAGTGTTTTTTCTCAAAAATGCTTTTCTCAAAAGTACTTTTGGAGAGAAGCAGCTTATGTTTAACTAATTAATTTGAAAAGCACTTCTGAGCAGCAATTAGTATTTTAGAAAAGAAAATACTTTTGATCAAAAAAAAAGTTTTTGCCTCAAAAGAAGCTTGGTCAAACAGGCTATTACACAAAAAGAGTAAAAAAAAATGGTTAGGAAGCCAAATGCCTACTTAATATGCTGCACAAAACGATGAGAATATTGTCATTAATGCAAATGAATCCAATTGGTTTACAAATTCTTTCTCTTATTTAATGTTTATTGAAATTAGTTTTGAGTTTCAACTTTCAAAGAAAACTTCAAACTTCCCTAGTAAAAGCCTTCATTTTCGTGTATACTATTAGTCTACTACTCTAAATATATAAATACAATGATATATTTATATGGTAGCAGCTGGTTTTTCTTGGTTTCACTATCATATCCAGCTTTCAAAGTCATTTTCTCAAACCATCACAACTATATAATATCCAAGTAGTAATAGACAACAAAGTCAAATCATATACTATATAAATCTATTAATCGAATTCAATGACAATGTAAATAGCGCTTAATTTCTATTTTATTTTAAAACCAAATTTGTTCAAATTTTTCTTCAATTTTTAACTATCTAGATAATGGATGTTTTGTCTTATGACCTAATACCAGGTACCATCAAGTGTAGACGATTACATTCACAATCATAATTATTTTGACACGTGAAATCTACGGCTAAAGCTCAGGTAAAGGCATGCAAAGGTTATGAGGCCGAATTAGGATTTTAACTTTATGGATTATAAATTTTAGAACGATGACTTTAAATGTTAATAATTGGGTTTTAAATTTAATATATATATACATGAATTCTTAATATAAATATATTATTTAAGTAAAAGCTATTTACCGTAACTTGACTTCTAGCTTCGCCCTGCTACCACAAGTATAAAAAATAAAACTTAGATATTTATGAGGGATAAATTTGGAACCTTCCTAGATATGGACTACCCCACCCCACCCCTTTTTTATTTTATTTGTTAGTCAACTTTCTTTTCTTTCAGAACAAAAAAAAAAACTTTCTTTTTCTTGTTAAGAAAATAAATGTTTTTAAATGCTTTGGTTCTTCTTTTTTTTGGGTCATGAATAGTAGGCTTTATATTCAAACTTTGAGTAGAAGAAAGAACACGAGAGGGAAACCAAGGCTAGTGTTTCTTCTTTCAACCATTTGGCTTTGAACTCCGATTAAGCTTAGGTACATTTTCAATTTAATTAGCTTGCAAAATTTTCCAATTTTAGTCTCTTTAATCAAAATTCTCTTTTCCCACATTTATTAATTTATAAGTTCACGTAAACTCAATAATTTTTACTTTGACTATAGTATGTATTAAGCAATCCAATAAATATTTATATATTTTTAACTGTGAACTCACATATTGTTGAGATAAGAACTCATTCATCCCTGTTTTCACCAAAACTCTAAATTCATCCGTTCTCCATGCAGAAAAATTCATAATGTCTCCCCCCTTACTGAAAGAACATGAATTAGCGACGAATTTTTTATATAATTAAACAGAAAAATTCCTCACTAATCAGCTATTCAACAATGAATTAGTGATAGGCTATTAAGAAATTTTGCTAGCTAACAGCGATTTAGCCACAGATTAACCGACGAAATTCGCAGCTAATTTCAATTTTTCTCTTGTAGATACAATGCACTCAGCAAATCATTGGGGAGGATCATTAGAAATAGCGAACAACGGCGATTCAACGGCGGAGGAATACGATCGGAGTCGGAATTTGGATTGGGACAAAGCATCAATAAATCATCAACAACAACAACAGTATAATAACTACGATCAATATTCTCATCGGCATAATTTAGATGAAACGCAACAGAGTTGGTTATTAGGTCCGCCGGAGAAGAAGAAGAAGAAACACGTCGATTTAGGATGTATTGTTTGCAGCAGAAAAGCATTCAAATATACAATTTATGGAATTATTATCGCTTTTCTCGTCATCGCTCTGCCTACGATCATTGCCAAAACTTTGCCTAAGCATAAAACTCGGCCTTCTCCTCCTGATAATTACACTATTGCCCTTCACAAAGCTCTTCTCTTCTTCAACGCTCAAAAATGTACGTTTTCTCCTTCCCTTAAATTTCCCCTATTTGATTTTATGTTTTTATTTTTTGTTAATGAGAATGGAATTTTTAATGAAATTCGATTTTCTCACATGAAGTTATCCATTTAATCTTGATGGATCACAGTTCCGAGTTGCTTCAATTAATTAGGAAAAATGCCCAAATTTATGTGTTCACTATACTAAGCTAGCGTTTGGCCATAGATTCCCAAATTTGTTTTGAAAAATTTAATTGGGTGAAGTTTGGTGTGAACATGAAAATGTGTTTGGACATAGTTAACAAAACATATTTCTCAAATTTATTTTGGAAAAACATGAAACATGACTTATACACACAAGTTCTAAAAACTATCACAAATACCCAACAATACCATTATCAATAACATTCATTATATTATCACAAACCATAGTCCTGAATATAAATAAATTTGGCACAAAATTATCATTTTTATAATGAACTATATTATACACTATTAATATAGAATGTCTATATCATGCTTCCTTGTATTAGGACCTTTCCCAAAACTTGTGTAAAACTGTCATTTACTATATTAAGTATCTTAAGTTACTTTATGGTCATTCATAACTTTGTTGTTAGCAAAAGTAGGGTTTTTTTCTTGTTTTTGACTTTAATGGAGCTTCAGAATGGACTGTGTTGGATTTCACGTGTGAAAATACTTGAGGAAAAAGGTTCAGAATTTAAGTGTCTACCTTGACTATAGTTTCAAATTATCCTTCATTATACTTCGATTAGGATTCACACTAGAGCTTAGTTATGATTAAGAGTAAATACGAGACAATTTGCTAATAGTAAAAGGAATAAATAACCTAAAATATGTTGCATCTTAAATTAAAATATTCCTATAGTAAATAGGCATTTTCCTTATAGGTGATGTTTGAAAGTGATAGATATGGAAAACACAAAAAGGGTATAAAAGATGAGAAAGAAATAAAGTTAGTCGATTGGGAAAGTAATAATAAGCTAATATTGCTCCTCGCACGAAGCATGCAGCTGTTTGTTACTTGGAATCCATTGAAATATAGCAAAGGTCACGACTTTTGGTAGGCATCCAAATGGACTTGGTAAAACTTACGTTAGAAAATAGAAATACATAATTTTTTAAGTAAATTGGTCACTTATTGTGGACCAGAGGGAGTATCTATTTTATTTATGTGCTACAATCAAACCTCTTTATAACAGCCTCGTTTATTCCCATATTTTTTTGCTACGATAGTAAAGTGTTGTTATTGAAAACACATATTATACAATAATATAAAAATCGATTCCAAGAAAAATATGGCTTTTATAGTGAATGGTTGTTATATGAGGATGCTATTATAGAGAGGTCTGATTGTATCTCTATCTTCAAGAACAATTATTATTAAGAGTAAAATGGGACAAATACAATTTATTTCGTCTTGAACTTCTAAAATGATAAATAAAAAATTAATATTTTTAGAAAGCATGACAGATAATTTGAAACAAAGGGAGTATAAAATTAGTTTAATCTAATACTCCCCCGTCTCAAACTAGTTGTCTCAAATTATTTATGGTTTTAGAGGTTCATAACAATATTAATTATTTTTTCTCATTCTATCCTTAATAGTAGTAATTGTTCTTGAAGAATACTCCTCATTTATGGAGTAAAATATTCAATAAAGAGTTATTATATACTAAGACATAAATAAGAGTAAAATAATCCAAAACTCCTCACACTTATATTTTTTAAGGGGCACATAAAAGAAAAATATGACAAATAATTTGAGACGAATGAAGTATCGTCAATTAATCGTGATGTTCATTGCATTTTTAAAATTATGAAATCTGAATTTAATAACTTATGACTTTTGAATGTTTAAAATTATATATTTCGTATTAAAAATACTAGGTTAAGTTGAACTAATTTATTGTTCCAAGGTTCCATCTGAACAGGAGAAAAGTAGACACGGTTTTGAATTTGAAGTTGGAACATCTTAAGCACTTAAACAGCAAACTAAAACGTGGGTCCAGAAAAATCTAAGTTTGGTGGGGACACTTTTAATAATAGGATTTTGATTGGCTAGCAAATTTTCATTAATTAATTATTTAACAAAAGACTTCTATTCCCGTGTACGACTCGGCCTTAATGTGTCGTCACTGATGATCCTCAAACTCCAATAATAAATGTTATTTTTTCCTTTATTTCTCTCAATATTCCTTTTTTTAAATACATTTTGAAGATGCTGTAAGATTGGGAAAAAGAACAATTTAAGATAAATTAAATCAATTCTAAATAATATTTTACTATCATTTTGATTTCATACCTAATATTTTGAGGCGTTCTTCAACATGGAAAGAGATTAATTTGAGGATCAGTTCCTACCTAATGAATTATCCAACTAATTTAGGGAATGACATTTAAATTAGTATCAGTTAGTGGGGAGCCATTACTTTTGATTCTTTGAATTCGTCAATTATAGTTTATTTTGCTTTAATTACACCTGGAAAAAATGTATGTTTTGACTTTAGGAATTAGACGAACTATTTCCCCATATAACAGGAATCTTATTTCTTAATTAAATAGGCAGGTCAAATGCGATTTTTTTTTTTTTAAAAAAAAAAAAGATCGTTACCAACGTGCCAGTTTATCACACTGATTTCCTTCTTACACTTTCGTCTTCAAAGTCAATGTTTTCCGTCGAGGTTGATTGGAGATAGTTTTATTTGGATTTAACTTATATAAAATTTTATTTGGGTTTAATATATACAATTAAATTAATTTTTAGACTATCAATGTATTTTAATATATTGTAGCATATTATATGTCTTATTTTCTAGGTTACTAATCTCAATTATTTTGAACGATTATCAATAGGTATTTTCCCCCGGAAGGTTAAATTTATCTACCTAGTTTTAATCATCAATCTCTTATCACCAGTGAAAAGGAGCAACATGATCCTAGAGGATTAAAATGCGGTTTAAGATTGATGTTACAGCCCTTTCCGGTTTAGGCTTAGGGTGTGTTTGGTATGAAAGAAAATATTTTTCAATTTTTCATATTTGATTAGTTTAAATGCTTTGAAAAATATTTTCTTATGTTTGATTGGCTTAAATATTTTTCGGAAAAAGTTTTTTCCCAACCAACTAAACATGGGAAAATAAGTGACCAAACACGCCCTTAACTATCAAGAATTTTCTGCAAAGTTGTATTACACAAAAGAGAGTACTATAAGATTTGTTTCACTTCTCTTTTGATAGACCGGTTACTCTTTTTTCTCCAACTTTATCATTTCGTGCAATATATCGATTACCTATATATACTTTTTGATTTTCATGCTCTACATGTATTTGTTGCAACTATGCATGTATATTATGTATTGATTTAAGTTATATACATATACAACATCAAATATTTTACACTGTTTCCACGCAACAGTATGTGTTGCCGATGAGTAACAGTCCAACCCACTAGTAATATTGTTCGTTGTGAGTCTAGGCTCGCACGACTTTAAAACTCGTCGCTAGGGTGTAAGGCATATTTACTTATATACCCAACATCTCTCCCGTGTTTTGTCGATGTGAGATTCGGCTGGGTGTCACATCTAAGGCATGTTTACTTATATACCCAGTATCTCTCCCGTGTTTTGTTGATGTGGGATTCGTCTGGGGTGTCACATACACCCCTCTCCTCCTTAGGGACTCAACGTCCTCGTTGAGGTTTGCCCCACCACAGTTCAAAGTTGCCCGCGGAGTGGCTCTGATACCATAAATAACAGCTCAGCCCACTAGTGATATTGTTCGCTTTGGTTGTGGCTTTAAAACGCGTCACTAGGGTCTAAGGTTTGTATATTTATATACCCAGTATCTCTCTCGTATTTTGTCGATGTGGGATTCGCCTGCGGTGTCACACGTTGTGTGACCATGAGGCCACGGTCGAAACGGCCTCTTGCAAAAATGCAACATAAAACTGCATACAATAAAGCCAATGTTGTCCGACCCTTCCCGATCCCACGCATAGCGAGAGCTAGTGCATCGGGCTGCCTTTTTACCTTATAAATGACTTGACTGGTTATATATTTTTTATAGCATCAGTGCATGAAACTTACACTCGTTACATATTAATCTGAGAATTTGTTGGTCTTTGCATATTGCAGCTGGAAAATTGCCAAAAAGCAATGGGATCCCATGGAGAGGAGACTCAGGTTTAAAAGATGGATCAAAACTCACAGACGTTAAAGGAGGGCTGATTGGAGGGTACTATGATGCTGGAGATAACACAAAATTTCACTTTCCAATGTCATTTGCAATGACAATGTTGAGTTGGAGTGTCATTGAATATGAACACAAGTACAGAGCCATTGGAGAGTATGATCATGTCACAGATCTCATCAAATGGGGCACTGATTACTTGCTTCGTACTTTCAACTCCACTGCCACTAAAATTGACAAAATTTATAGCCAGGTAACTATAAATTTCGATTTTTTAAGCGTTGTGATTCTACTTTATATGCATGGAGTTCAGGAGTTGGTATGATTATTTCCTTGAAAATGTTTTCTCATGTTTGGTTGGACAAAGGAAAATATTTTTCCACAAAATAGTTTTTATTAAGGGTCGTTAATTGGCTTGGAGGGTGGTCATCCATACAGATGACCTGGGATCGATCTCCCCTCAATGCCTTCTGGGTTGAGCCAAGCCCTGTGCAATTTGCATCCCATATGTGGTTTGCAGGCTATTACACAATGGGGGTTTTACCCGGTGCGCACAGAGTGTTCACCCAAAGGGCGGAGGTTGTAGCAGCTGCGGGTTTTCCTGAAAGTTTCCAAAAAAAAAAAAAAATAGTGGTTTCCCCTCAAAAGTGAGGGAAGTCATTTCCCCATATCGGTGTGGAGAAAGGGAAAGGCATAATATATAAACAAGCCCTCACACTTGGCTTCAGCTAGCAAGTATGCCCTCAAACTTTAGGTGTGCACAAGCAAGCACCTCAACTTGTATAAAGTTGAACACTAAACACAAATGCTGACATGGCATTGATGTGGCACATAAATTTTGGAGGTGTCTAAACGATTATTTTATAAGTTTAGATAATATTTTATAAGTTGGAGTGTTCAACTGACGGTGGAGCCAAGTTGAGGTGCCTACTTGTGCATACCTAAAGTTGGAGGGCGCACTTGCCAGCTGAGGCCTATTTATGTAAAATGTTCTTGCTACCACATACAAAAAAAAGTGTGTTAAGTTTTGTATTCAGTTAGATTCTGTAGAGGTAACTGTAGCAGTATTCTTGAAGTCAAAAGATCATGTTATATTGAGTGGAATGACAGATAGGAAAATCAACTGAAGTGAAGTTTTAAGCTAAATGTATGACTTGGCATTACTGTTGGAACTCCATACTTAACTATGGTTCCAATGTTCCCTGATCAGGTTGGTGGTTCTCTAAATAATTCAAGAACACCAGATGATCACTACTGCTGGCAAAGGCCAGAAGACATGACTTACGAACGCCCTGTTCAAACAGCTAATTCGGGGCCTGATCTAGCCGGTGAAATGGCAGCAGCATTGGCTGCAGCCTCCATAGTATTCCGCGACAACACACAATATTCAAGAAAGCTCGTTAAAGGAGCAGAGACCCTGTTTGCTTTCGCCCGTGACTTTGGCAAACGGACTTCATATTGCCGCGGAAATCCTTACATTGAACCTTTCTACAACTCCACAAACTATTTCGACGAGTTCATGTGGGGATCAGCTTGGCTATATTATGCTACTGGCAATAAAACTTATATATCGTTGGCGACTAATCCTGGATTGTCCAAGAATTCCAAGGCGTTTTTCATGATCCCGGATTTAAGCGTGTTGAGCTGGGATAACAAATTGCCTGCAGCTATGTTGCTGTTAACTAGGATGAGGATATTCTTGAATCCAGGTTACCCTTATGAGGAAATGTTGAGTAGCTATCACAACGTCACTAGTCTTACCATGTGTTCCTACCTACAGAGGTACCAAGTCTTCAACTTCACCAAAGGTAAAATGCCTTAACTATTATCCTCTTCCAAGAACTTGTCATATATAATCCTAGTTAAGGAAAAATTGCTGCATTAGGTACAAGTTCAGCAAAAATTATTAATTGGTCCGGGATAGGCTTTTTCCTCATGCCGAGGGTCTACTAGAAACAGGCTCTCTACATTCACTGTAAGGGTAAGGTCTGCGTACTATCTACCGGGGGTAAGGTTTGCATACTATCTACCCTCCCCAGACCCCACTTGTGGGACTATACTAGGTTTGTTGTTGGTCCGGGATAGGCTTGTTCAATTATTCTACGAAGTGGTCTGACTCCTGATTTTCAGAGGCGGATCTATAATTTAAACTTGATAGGTTCAACCTTAAATGTTCTTAGCACTGAACACATCGTAACTTTTGTTTAGGTGGACTGATCCAGTTGAATCATGGCCGTGGACAATCGTTACAGTATGTGGCCAATGCAGCATTTTTGGCATCACTCTTTGTTGATTACATGAATGCCACTGGTGTTCCAGGATGGAACTGTGGCCCTACCTATATCTCCTTGGATGTTCTTCGCCGTTTTGCCACTTCCCAGGTTTGCACATCACTCGCCCTCTCAATATTCGATCAGATTCAGTAGAGCGCAAACAGTTAGAAATATACAACAAAAGCATTCATCACATGCAAAGTGGATCCAGAAGTTAAATTTTGTGGATTCAACCCTTAGAATTCTTGGAACTAAACTCATTGTAATTTTGACATTATGCTATCGAAATACTGCTTACATGGGCCATTAAAACTGCCAATGTTTTAACTTTTCGGCCACTAAAACTGCCACCATCGCAAAGGCGGATCTAGAATTTCTGGAATATGGGTGCACCACAAAAAAAAAGTAGAAAAATAGTATTAAGTGAAAATTGATCCTTATTCCTCAAGGTAAATTACTTAATATTCAACCAAGTGCACCATTCAATCTTTTTGGAGCATGGGTGCCAACGGATAGTATTAGACTAATTCTAAAAAATACATACATAAAATACATAGTTTGACGGTGAAACCATGGGTTCACATGCCCCATGATTGAGGCTATAAATCCGCCCCTGCCATCATCTACTAACATTTTGTCATTTTTGCTTTCATAAAACAGATGAATTATATTTTAGGTGACAATCCCTTGAAGATGAGCTATGTAGTAGGGTATGGAAACAAATTCCCAAGGCATGTACATCATAGGGGTGCATCAATACCCTCTGGTAAAACAAAGTACTCATGCACTGGAGGGTGGAAATGGAGAGACACCAGTAATCCCAATCCTCATAACATAACAGGAGCTATGGTAGGAGGACCTGATAAGTTTGATAGGTTCAAAGACGCGCGCAAAAATTTCAGCTATACAGAGCCAACACTAGCAGGAAATGCAGGACTAGTTGCTGCACTGGTTTCTTTAACCAGCAGTGGTGGCTATGGCGTTGACAAAAATACCATTTTCTCAGCTGTTCCACCTTTATATCCAATGAGCCCACCCCCACCTCCACCATGGAAACCATAAAGTGCAAATTTTGCCTTGAAAAACTGCAGCAACTTAAAATTTTCCTATTATTTGGATATCCCCATCACCATGTACAAAATTTCTGAGATTAAAGAGTTGTTGTAACTCTATTTATCTTGTGACATCAGCGGCGTAATAAAATTCTTGTATTAATTTCTTTTGTTAATTGTTTCAAGTACATGCATGGCATCATCAACTTATTTTTCAATAGAAGCGATTACATAACCATATAGAATGAATTGCTACCTATACCTAGATCACGGATAAATGGAAATTTTATTGATAAGACCTTTTCAATTGTAGCCAATATCTTATTACGAGTAATTCCAACAACTTCAGAAGAAAAGAGGCAGTTACCTATTACAAAGATGATGTGATTTGATTCTTTTTTAAAAAAAAATCATATTTATTCATTTCTCTTGGTCTTACGAGGAGAAAAACACGTGATTCGAGAATTTTTTTGAAGATATAATCTATGCGTTTTGAAGGTGAAGTTTGGAAATACAATCAGACCTCTCTATAACAGCATATGTAATAACACTTCACTATAAAAGCCAAGTTTTTCCGGAACCAATTTTCATGTTATGTTATAATATATGTCCTTCTACTATATGTCCTACTATGTATCCTCAATTAATGAAACCTCATATGCTATGTTTCGATTCTCGATTCTAGTATTAAGGGAAAGGTTAAGCCTAGAGGTTTTGTATTACGGGTCAATCCTACTCTGTCGTCCCTAGATGTAGTAGTCAATCAGCGGACCTTCATTAATTGGTTTCTGTTGGAGGGTCCTAAGACTTACCTTGTAATCTGAGGTCTGATTGAAATTAGGTTTACCTTTATCAAAATTTTCTTCTCGTTAAACTCAAATGTTACTTTTGTTAACTACTTTGAGATTACTTTTTTCTAAACTGAAAAGACCTAGGTTTAGTTTCAGTTTCATTGAAATTAGATTTGCCTTAGCATTTCTTGTGAGACAACAATTGAATGCCAGTGAATTCATAGATAAGGCGGATATTTCTTCTATATTTCTTGAAAGAATTACAACAGAGAGAGTTGCCTTACAATTGATATCGACAATTTCCAATGCATAAACACATATATGATTCTAACTTAGTATACTGGGACTGATAAATGAATGAGAGGAAGAATAACACTTCAGGTAATTATTGCTGATAGCAAGAACCTGGATCTTCTGGTGCAGCTCGCCCGCCTCCAGTTAATGGACCAGAAGCCACTCCTCTTTGATTCAATAGGCACCTAAAATGAGCCAGCCTGCGAGTAACTTGACTTGGATTCTTGGCAAGGTTGTCATAAGCAGTCCATAGCCTCTCTTTTGTGGCAGCAAGTTAACCAGCAATAACAAAGAAGAATTGTTACCACGAGAAAGACGATTGGATTTAACGTGTCAACTCAGAGACTATCCTCTTCTGGAGCAATATGTGTTAACGTGTCATAACTAATAGTCTAATACACATGAAACTATGACTACTGTTGCAAAAGTAGCAAGAAGAAGGACTAGTGAGAAAGCTTTAGTTCATCTTAAAAATCAGCACAAAATATCTGACGTGTGTGTTCCCCAACAGTGTTTGACGTATGCCATTGCTTCATATGTAGAAATTAGGAGGAGGACAAGACAGAATACACAGAAGTGGCTCCTCTGAAAAACCCAACGGCATTTGAAAGATGAAAAATACTTCTGATCAGACTAAAGGGACTTTTATGTTCTTTTTTTTTTCTGAAAACAAAAAAAATATATTTGGAGCACCCGATGAGATTCAAATTAGTATATTGAAGATTTGTTGCTCTTTGTAGAGGATGTTATTTTAGTCTAATTCAAATTCTCTAGCTTTTGGACCTTTTTTTTTTCTTGCTCCGGACCTTTTCATATCAAAGATACTTACTTTGTAAAACTAATAAAAAGGTAGAATCTAGATTTCAGGAAGACAGATTCAATAAGAGAGAGAGAAGACTACCTGCAGCTGCAGCTGCGCGAGGCCAAATGGTTGTTTCGATGTTTGATCCATCAATATGCTCACCCCACATACATACCTCACCCCCAATAACCAGCCGTTGTTGCTTGGGATTTGTAATATTAGTTAGTGGCTCATTTGAATAGAAATCCTGCCATGTGGTATCTATATGGTCCAAATACCACTTGTCCTGGTTGCTAACAATGCACCGCAATCCAGCTGCAGTTACTTGCTGAGCAACACTGCCCCCGAGCCTGCCCAGACATAATATGAGCACAAGGTTGTTAGTCCATCAATTGGTTCTAGGAGACGTTTTCCAACTGACTTGGTAATGCCTACTTCCTCACTTTCTCTATCACTTTAATTGATGGAGAAGAATAAAGGAGATGAAAAAGACAACTGAATATATATGAACTAATATGGAGCTTCCAGCTTATACAACACGACAAAAGAACGTACCAGTTGTGAACTATAGTTTTTGGGCTCAACTTATTTCCAAAGTTATTGAACGTCTCTTCCCTGCAAATTTGAAGATGAAGTTAAACCAGTTATTGTTAGAATTCCGAAAGCTCATAACAAAAGTTCTTCCTACCAGTTTATAATTTCATATCCATGAGATAAAGCTATCTTCTGCGCTCGCAAGACGAAGTATTCATAAGCAGTGGTTCCATTCAACTTGTTTTGCTTCAACCTGTCAAATAGAACATGGTCAGACAAACTTGTCAAATATAATATTGAGGAGAGAATTCTATATTATCTGAGAGTAGTGCAAAGATCATCTGGCTAAAGGCATTGGGGAAATCTCAATCATAGAATGATGAAGTAGGATAAAATACACAGAATCTAAGTGATTGAAGAAGCACAAATATGATGTTCACTATTCAGTCGGTTAGAAATTTGTGTTATTTCTACTCTATATGTAATATTCAGCCACTTAATTGAGTCTGGGTGTGCATCTTGCAATGATGTTCCGCGAAACTAATTGGCAAGTACTTCCAGTCACTGAAAGGTTTTGTAGATTAAGTAATCGATATGATTAAGAGAGTTGCAACACTTAACATGCCACCTAAATGAAAATGGCTTGATCTGAATTGTAGCTTAGAAGAGCTCATATAATGACATACCCATCGACCAGTGTTTTTGTCCACGGGAATAACAACTAAAATATAAAAAAAGAAATAATTGAATAAGAGTACTGACATAAAAAAAAAAAAGTGCAGTAAAAGGAATGAAAGCTTCAAATAATTGATTGACTTAGAAAATTTGTAAAAGATAGGCAATACTGACTGTACAACAATAAGAACAGAAAACCTAGTGAATTCCCATAAGTTGGGTCCGGGGAGGGTAGTGTGTACGCAGACGTTACCCCTATCCTGACAGTACAATATCAAAAATAAAATCGCAAAAAATATTTACCACTTTCTTATACGAGGAGTTAACGTCCAGCAACCTGCAGGAAACATTCAATTGCATGTTTCAGTTCCTTCAACTTGCTGAAAGTTAAGATCAGTAAACAGTACAAGCAAAAAAGGATTAGTACTCGACTAACAGCCTGTTTGGCCAAGCTCGAAAAATCAGCTTAGTTTGAGAAGTGTTTTTTTTTCAAAAGTGCTTTTTTCAAAAGTACTTTTGGTGAGAAGCAGTTCGTGTTTGGCTAATTAATTTGAAAAGCACTTCTAAGCAGCAATTAGTGTTTGGTCAAGCTTTTAAAAAGTGCTTCTAAGTGTATTTTTCTCAAAAGTGGCTACTTTTTTCTGCTTCTCCAAAGCTGCTTCAGCTTCTACTCGAGAGCACTTTTTTTTGTTCGAAAAGCTTGGCCAAACACTTCAACTTTGGAAGAAAAGAACTTTTTAAAAAAATTTCAGCTTGGAGAAGCTTGGCCAAACAAGCTATAAGAGAGATTGAAGACTAAAGTCAATGCCTGATACAAATACATGTGTTAGGGTAATATTTAGGTCTGAAAATTGATAAAGGGGCCTGCATACGTATTATTACTTTAATCACTTAGTAAAATTTTTGCAAGAAAAGATTCAAAGTTCCTGCGAGCGTCAGTCGAACACTAAAACCCTGTTTTCTATTGAGTATCCTTTCAAATAAAATGTTGAATGACTTATAGCCCGTTTGGCCAAGCTGCAAAAATCAGCTTATTTTGAGAAGTGCTTTTATTTAAAAGTGTTTTTCTCAAAAGTACTTTTGGTGAGAAGCAGTTTGTGTTTGGCTAATTAGTTTGAAAAGCACTTCTGAGCAGTAATTAGTGTTTGGCCAAGCTTTAAAAAACTGCTTCTAAGTGTATTTTTCTCAAAGGGCTTCTCAAAAAAGTGCTTTTGGAGAGAAGCTACTTTTTTATGCTTCTCCAAAACCGCTTCTGCTTCTCCTCAAAAGCACTTTTTTCCCTTCCGGAAGCTTGGCAAAAAAAAAGCACTTTTGGCCAAAAAAAAAGCTTGGCCAAACAGGCTATTAGACAGTAATTATTTTTGCAATAAACGATAAGCTTTTTTGAGCATTGATCAAAACTGCTTCATTCTCTATCTTGTTAATAATATTTCTTCAAACAAAAATGATAGACCATATCACGAAGAAATATGAATACAACCAAGTCAGGACAGTGGTCTGAACATGTTAACTTACTTGTATCCACTTCATCACCTCCTAGATGAACAAATCTGTACTTGAATATCTTGCTAAAATCTGAAACACAGAAAGTTTCCATATCATAAATTGTTTACTATTTTGACTCGTACAGGTCATGAAGTTATTTGCTGTGAGCATTACCTGAGAGAATTCCGTCTATTACTTTGAAAGTGAAATCATTGCTTATGTCAAGTGGCTGTTGACAATCTTTTGACGGCCATAAAGAAGGATAGCCATTACCCCTGAAATTGAACAATTGCTGGATCGATTAGATTGCAAGGGAAAAAAATTCTTGTTGAAATTTGATTCAACAACTAATCTCCAAATAGAATTTCATCACCCCATACCAAGATTGAGCATGTCCTGGAATGTCTAATTCAGCTAATACATTGATTCCACGTCTTCGTGCATATCTGCAACTCTTAAATGCTCAATGTTGTTTGCACATGAAAAGACAAGGGAAGAAGAATGAAGAAGCATGAAAGAAATATCGTGCCTCACAATCTCAGCAGCATCGGCTACAGTATACCGCTCTGAACTTGAGTAAGCACCATTCCACAGT